CGAGTCGACTACATGGGAGTCCAGCGACATAGCCATTATACTAACTGCTGGTCCCGCTTTTGCATTTCTTTTTTTTTTTAAACATTTTTTTAAAATTATTTATTTAACTTTATTTATTCATTCATTTATTTTTATTTTGACCAGAGAGACACACACACACACACACACACACAGAGAAAGTGAGAAAGCAAGCCACCAGGTCCAGGATTTGAACCGTGGTCAGCAATGTGGGAGCATCCAGCACCTTAACCACCACGCCACCCACTGGTCCCCCGCTTTTGCATTTCTGAGGTTAAGTTATTCCATTTTTAAGAATCTTGTTTTTAAGGACCAGCAGTTAGCATAATGGCTATGATGCTGGACTCCCATGTAGTCGACCGCAATTCACGTCCCGGACCCGGTGGCTTAAAACTCACGCTGGGCGCGTGTGCGTGCGTGCCCAAGATCCCGAGAGGAGAACAGAGGAGAAGGGATTGTGGCATGGCCATCCCCCCGGAGAGTGATTTCTCGCTTTTTGTTTCTCTGTCTATCTGGCGAGCACACGCTCCCTATAGCACAAACCTCTCCCCCCCAAAAAAAAGGAATGTTGTGCTTTTAGATTTTTAAAAAGTAACTCAAAATGGTCAAAACATTTATGTTTTATGAATTTGTAGTTCAGGTAAAAGGTTTAAGTGATAGTTGTAGAGAAATATTTGAACTATATCTAATGTTAGCTTGAGGCTGTTTATTTTTCTTTTTTTTTTTTTTTTAAAGATTTTTGCCATGTAGTGTTTATGCTTGTCTGAGAGAAAAAGAGAGAGAGAGACCATGAGAGAGAAAGTAAGGTGGCATGGGTGATAGCCACATCGCAGTTTTTCTTGTCCATTCTTCTGGGATTTTGGCCATGTATGCACATGTGCCAGCTATGATTTTTAAGCCACAAGGTATGGGATTCGAATTGCGTTTGGCCATGTGGGAGTCCAGCACCTTAACCACTACACCACCTGCTTGATCCAACTATTTCTAATATTGGAAAAGGCATATTCTTAAAGCAGTCAACTATGTTTTCATCATAGTCATTCATCGTGGCAAGACTACATTGGAAAACTGTGTACTGCAATGTGAAACTACAGGAGTCACAGTGCGAACGTCAGCAGAATTGTTAATGAAGAACTCGGATTTATATGGTGCCAAGGTATGATAATCTCTTACGTTTTCATGGAAGTAGTTTGAGTTTAAGTTCTAAATAAATAAAATATGGGATCTAGATATAAATGCATACTCATATTCTCTTCAAAGAAGTTCAGACACTTTTTTTTTTTTTTTAACTAAGTCAGCCAAGCTCAATTGTACAAGGTTCTTTTATAACATCTTCTAAACAGAGATTAGGTAGAAAAATAATTCTCACAGTTACTCTGTGGTAAAGCTAAGAGAAATATAGAGCCTTAAAATTACAGCTTTGTGAACAATTTTGTAGCAGTCAAAGCTTATTTACTTTCTTTAAACATTAAACTTTTTGAAATAATTTTAGGTTCTCATGCTGTTTTAAGAAATAATACAGGGGCCAGCAGGTGGCGTGGTGGTTAAGGGCACTGGGCTCCCACATGACCGACCATGGTTCAAGTCCTGGACCTGGCGACTTGCTTTCTCTCTCTCTCTCTTCTTTCTCACTCTGTCCCTCTCTGGTTAATAGATAAAAGTAAGTAAATAAAATAAATAAAGTTCAATAAATTAATTCTTTAAAAAAAAAAAGAAATAATACAGAAAAATCCTGTAGATACCCATTACCATTTCTCCCTAATGGTAACTTCTTCAAAACTAGTATAATATAATCACAGCCAGGATATTGAATTGATATTGATCCAGTCTGGTTAAAGAACATTACTATGGGACCAGCAATTGGTGTAATGGCTATGTTGCTGGACGCTCATGTAGTCGATCGGGGTTCAAGTCCTGGACCCAGCTACTTAAACTTACGCCGGGTGCGTGTGCATGTGTGCCCAAGATCCCGAGAGGAGAATGGAGGAGAAGGGATTACAATATGGCCATCCCCTCTGGGGGGTGATTTCTTGCTTTTTGTTTCTCTGTCTTTATGGCAAGTGCATGTGTCCTATAGCAAAAACCTCTCCCAAAATAAATAAATAAATATCATTACCATCACCATAGGGATCCCGATGCTGCCTTTTTAAAGTCAGATATACTTGTCTTTCCCACCAGCATCTTCCACTTTCGCCAAACACTAATCTGTTCTCTTATCATTTAATGAATGTTAGTATTATTAATTTATCATTTTAAGAATGTTATATAAATGGAATCACAAATACTACCTTTTTGGATTGTCTTTTTTCACTTAATACAATTCTCTCGAGCTTCATCCAGTTAATTGTATGTTTGTCCTTTATTATTTAGTGGAAGTCCAATGTGGAAGTTCAAGTCCAAAGTTTCACACTTTATTTATTCACCTATCAAAGGGGATATAGGTTGTTCTTGGTTTCTGTCTATTATCATTAAAGCTATTATGAACATTTGTGTACAGGTTTTTGTGTGAACGTGGTTTTCCTTTCTCAGGGATAAATGTGTAGGGGTACAATTGTATACCATTTGGTAGCTGCATGATTTTTTTTTTTTTTTTTTTTTTGCCATAGTGTGTGTGTGTACTCACTAAAGAGAGACAGAGAGAGAGGGAAAGTGAGAAATCACCTCACTGGGGGGTGGCCACGCTGCACTCCCTTTTCAGACCTGGTAAGCCACCAGGTCTGGAACTCAACTCCATCCTCTTGGGATTTAGGGCCTGCACACACATACTTCCAGCCAAATATTTTAGGGCACTGGATCCAGGACTTGAAACAGTGGATTTGGTCATGTGGGATTCAGAGCCTTAACCATCATGCAATCTGCTGGTTCACATGATTTAGTTTTTTTTTTTTTAAGAAAACCGATAAACTGCTTTTGAAAATAGTTATGCCATTTTATATTCCTACCAATTGTGTTTGAATGATCCATTTTCTTCATATCCTCAACATCATTTGGTGTTTGAACTATTTTTAGCTGGTCTGATAGGTATGTAGTAATATCTAATTGTGTGGCTTTAATTTTACTAGTTGTTGAACATTTTTCCATATGCTTATCTGGCATCCTTATATCCTTTTCATGACTTGCCTATTTTTTTTTTTTTTTGGTGGGTTTTTCCC